TCACAGATGCAGAATTACTAGGCCAAAGAATTTAAATAGTAAGATGCTCTTGATAGATATTGTAAAATCGCTCTTCAGAAAGGTTCTATCAATTCAGTGGCACTGGCAATGTGAGAGAGCACTAACTTCACTTCCTCCTTGTGGACTCTCAGCCTGGAAATTGTGAGTGAAAAATAGCACCTGGCTTTGAATGGCCTTTCTTTTATTTCTGGCAATGTGGACTTTTTCCCAGGTGTTTGTCTACTCATTATGAATTATTTGTGTTCTTGACCATTCATTTATCCATCGGGGTTGGGTTCCCGTACTGGTGGGTATACTCGATTCAAAACGCACCGTCGCCAAGTAAGGAAAGGATGATGCATCAGATCTTGGTGCTTCACTCAACCTGCACATGCAGACCATGGTCATCTTGGGAAACAGAAGACCTGTCTGTTTTCTCTCAAATACTCCAAGCCACTTTGGAAAACACAAGGGGCATAGCTTGATCTATGTGCTTTTATTTCTAATAACTGGCTATTTATAACAGATTCAAGCAAGGAGGATAATTAGAAACCATGAAGCACGCATACTTCATCTCACTGGTTCAGGAAATAAAACCCAGGGGATGACACGCTAACTTGTGCCGTATTCCACAGCCGGCTCTGGACAGAGCCAAAACTAGAACCCAGGTGTCCGGCCATCCCAGCTCAGCACCTGGCCATCTAGGCAGTGCTGTGGCCCCAACTGTGCTTCAACAGGGCCTCCTACTTTTCACCTGGAGTGATATTTTGAGTAACAAAAGAGTAGGGAAGTCTTTGTGGCTAATTCCTGTCTATGCTCCACTTCACAGCATCCTCATGAATCAGCCTCATCCTTTCCGGCTCAGCATTTCCTTAAGGATAATGAAATAAGAATGTGTTGAAGACAGATTAGACCCCCTTTCACAAATTCTGTATGTGGGTCCCAGGATGAGAAAATTCTTTGGGTAACTGCAGGGGCATTATCCACCATTAATTGTTGATAAGCTTGGGGGAAAAGGGTGTCAAATTTTATAAACGTTTCCCACATGCCAAGAGTAACAGTCTATTGAGTATGGCTGGTGAGTTTTGCCTGGGAAAATAGCCTGAGTGGAGGGATATTTTATTAACCTTCTGACATTATCGTGTACCCAGGAGGACATGCATCTTCCTCCTGATTTTCCTTACACCCATTTTTTTCCCCTGAAAAGGTACTTATTAATTAATCACTCACATCAGCGAGCACTCTCTGTGTAGACTAGTGTCTTCTTAAGACCAGAAGGGAATAGCATTCATGAGCCTCTGCCCAAAGCAGCCTCAAACCAAAAATGCACACAAAACTGCAAATGCTGAAGTAAATATTCAGTAATAACTATAGTTTCATCATACCTAGTACAAATCTGTTCAATTTACAGTTGTGTTCTGTTCTAATGCTTTCTAAACTATTGATCTTAAAATGCTCTATTTTTGAATATTAAATTTTACTATAAGAATAAAAGTGTAATAATTTTCTCCCTTTTCTAGGTGTTCATTAGGCAATGGTTATTGTTACAGAAACTACTAGATAGTGTCGGGTTTGACAGATCTTTGATTGCAAAGATGTATGGGAGTATTTTGGTTTATTTTTTTCTCATTTAAAAAATTTACTACTCTACTTAGAAGTCATGTTCTTAGCTGTTCCTCAGATACTATCTTTTTGCTTAGCACAGCTCTCATTTTACCATGGTTTGCAAGATAAATGAGTTACAAGTAAATGTATCGTAATAGAATGTTCCTTTTTTTATTACTTTCTTTGCTAGATAAGTAAAGCTAAAAATCTTCTTATTCTCATCTAAAAATTTTGTAGACAATCTCATGTTCTCTTAAAACAGAAAAAATATGTCATTGGATGAAGTGAAAATGCATTAGGCTTCTAAATTCTTTCGGAAAGGAAGAGTAGCATATTTATGTTTTATGAAACTCTGATAATTATTTTACAGCAAGTGATATAATTTGATGCATGTGTTATATTTCAAGTTTTTTTACCAAATCATTTCCTTTTTGCTTTTAGCAATGAAATTATTTCCCACATAACATTTTCCCCTCTTCCTTCTGAAAATAAAATTATTTATGAAACCATGGCTTAGCAACAAGAATAAAAGGAAAATGATGTCTTTTCTTACTTCAAGGAAGGCAATGGAATGTAATGTACTAGAAAGAGCTCTGGACTGAGGATAAGGAAATATGGATGCCAGTTCCAGCTCTGCTGTAATATAAATGTTTGTTAGATGGATAAATCAGCCAATAGACAGACAAACTCTTTGGACCTCAGTTTCCCAATTGTAAAGTTTAGGACCTGGAGTAGATTATCTCTGTGTCTCCTACTACTCTAAAAGTTTCTCGTTCCATGTAAGCGATGTCTCCTTTCTTATTGGAATCCTTTGTTTTGAAATAGTCATCTTAAGGATTGTTTAATAGAAGGCATTTATATGTGTTAGTGTAGCAATACTTTGCCTATTCTTTATTACTAATCTATCTCCTTCTGCTTGGAAACAGCCCTTACCTAATTATATAGGAAGTCAGTGATTCAGCGTTGGGAAGAGGTCTTGGTTTTTATAACTTTTCTAATGCTCTAACATGTGATATTAATTTCCCTGAATTATTTGGCTCCAAATCTGAAATAGAAAATTATCATACATTTTAATACCTATCCCCAATTCATTTCTTAATTTAATGAGCCACGTATCCATACGTTAGCAGAAAATCTTGCTTTCATGTTTTAAAGTCACACCACCCATTTAAACTCCTTTTTGGTGAACATTTCCCACGATCTGTTTATTCTGTGTGACACTTTCATTCCTACAAATAACCTGCCCAGGAAAAGTTTGGAAGGACAAGGATCAACTGGAATGAGAGAGAGCTAGTTTGAGGGAAAAATATGGAAAAAAAATATGAGGATCCCAGCTTATCTTGAGTGAGGGTTTCTGGTATGGATTTGTTATTTTGTTTTAAATAAATTGCCAGAATACCAGATGTAGTCATATTCAAATTTAACAACAGCATCTATTTAATGGATTATTATACAGACATTAAAATTATGTCTATGAAGAATTCTTACAAACATGGCAAATTGTAATGTGGTAACTAAGGAAACTGAGAAAAGAAATTTTACATTATAGTTTGATCTCAACTAAAGGGAAATAAAAACACCAACATATTAACTGAATTTTTCTCTAGATGATGATATTATTTTATGATAATTTTTCTTTCCTATATTTTTACTTTTAAAAAACAACCAGAGAGGCCGGGCGCGGTGGCTCACGCCTGTAACCCTAGCTCTCTGGGAGGCCGAGGCAGGCAGATTGTTTGAGCTCAGGAGTTCGAAACCAGCCTGAGCAAGAGCGAGACCCCGTCTCTACTAAAAATAGAAAGAAATTAATTGGACAACTAAAAATATATAGAAAAAAAATTAGCCGGGCATGGTGGCACATGCCTGTAGTCCCAGCTACTTGGGAGGCTGAGGCAGGAGGATCGCTTGAGCCCAGGTGTTTGAGGTTGCTGTGAGCTAGGCTGACGCCACGGCACTCTAGCCCGGGCAATACAGTGAGACTCTGTCAAAAAAAAAAAAAAAAAAAAGAAAAACAGAGAATAATTTTTGTTAAAAATTTACAATACACGTTATGTTGTGTATCTTTTTGTATTACTATAATTTTGGATTTTCCCATGCCTGTACTCATGGAGGAATGGCCCCATAAGACAAACAACTCAGAGACGTTCAACTTACCCCTCATACCGGAGGCGATATCGGCAGACCCTGGCTCAACTATGGGGGAGAGAGTCCAGTAGCATCAGTAAGAGGAAAGAGGGTCCAAAACATCATGACGATCAGCAGCTGCAGAGCTCAGATCCCACAAATGCTCTTTCATTTCATTCAGGGAAAATTTATCAAATACTTTTGTGTGCTAGATACTAGCTACAGTTTGGAGATCTTAGAAGAATCTAAGAAGATTTAGACAAAAAGGAACTGATAGTTTTCGGGGAGACAGGCACATGAATCTTAGATGTACTGAAAAAGCTACACAAGGGTGGAGTGGTCAGCTGGGTCTGGGGGAATTCTAAAGTGATGCCTGAGTCTAGAGTTGGTCACGAGGATGGGGGCAGAGTTGCGTGTGGAAAAGCCATTGAGCATGAAACTATGTGGTGGATTCTGGGAATTAGGATTATTTCAGCAAGGCTGGGCATAGATTACAAAAGAGATAAGGACAGATGTGTCGATGAAAGTGACAGACAAAATCATAGCTTTCTTTGAGTGTCTGCTGGGTAGTGAGGCCTTTGTCCTGAAGCTGACAAGAAGCCACTTGGAGGTTTGAAAGCTGTGGGTTTACATTAGGTTTGCATTTGAAAGAGATTACTCTGGTGGTGGTACAGGGAAAAGGGGGAAAAGGGAGGCCGGAGGGAAGCTATCATAATGGCCTAAGCCAGAGGAGAAGCTGGCCTGAGCAGCTGGGGCTGGGGGCCCAGTGACAACTCAGATGAAGAGGAAGGGGGACTTGAGAGGCAGTGAAATATAGACTTAGACCCGGTAACCTGTTGGATGTGGGGTGTGAAAAAGAGGGGGACTAGGAGGGACCTGGGGATATGAGTTTCAGTTTGGGACATATTTAAATTTCTTTCCATCCTTCTTTCCTCCCCTCTGTCTCTTCCTGTCTCTCCAGCCCTTCCTGCTCTTTCTGCCTACTTCTTTCTCTCCATTCATTTAGTCATTCAGTGAACTTGTATTAAGCTCTCACTGTGTACCAGGCACTGACAGCCATGTCCTAGGTCCATTGTCAACCACACCAATTTCCATGTATTCTCAACCAGGAGGGGGAAGAAAGTCATTTTTACAACCACAGCTGCTGTGTGTCTCTGACAAGGACACAGCTTGTCAGGCATAAGACACAAATTGCTTAACTTCTTTAAAATGGCACTGTGTAACATATGTTTTTATACTGGAACTACCACTAATGGCCGTTTTCTTTATAGGTAGTGCCATTATTTCTGTTACATTTCTGAAAGAAAATTTGAGAGCCTCAGATTTACTAGGTAAGTAATTATTTAATTCATATAATTATAGCATTCATTGATCAGGATATAAATAATGGTATCCATAAAAAACATGTGCTTTAAAAACTGGAAACAAGGCCAGGCATGGTGGCTCACACATTTAATCCTAGCACTTTGGGAGGCCAAGGTGGGAGGAACACTTGAGCCCAGGAGTTCGAGACCAGCCAGGCATGGTGGCATGCACCTGTAGTCCCAGCTTCATGGGGGGCTGAGGTGGGAGGATTGCTTGAGTCTGAGAGTTGGAGGTTGTAGTGAGCTGGGATTGCACCACTACACCCCAGTCTGGGAGACAGAGCAAGACCCTTTCTTAAAAAAAAATAAATAAAAAAAAAAACCTGGAAACAAATTACAGAAATGGTTGTAAATTTCATGTAGAGATGAACATTATTCTGTTTTTGAGCTGCCATCTCTTCTCACTTGAAATACTTCCATTTTCTTCGTGACTTCTGCCTGTGCCATTGGCTGTAGCAAATTATTATTCTATAATAATATTGTTATGAAACTTTTATGAACATAATAAAATTCAATGAAAGTATCTGTCTTACCTAATAAACTATTCCACTTTAAAGGACATGTTTGTTATATTGTTACACAAAAGTACTGCATAAAAATGAAAACCACAAAAAATTAGATGCACTAACTAACTACTGAATTTGTAGTTAGCACTTTTCAAAAGTAACACAGAACACTGCTCTTCAAATTTTTATTTGGAAATACGGTTATTAATGGAAAATAACAGTAGCCTTCCTGGCTGGAAGAAAGACTTTTTTTATATAGCAAAGCCATCATTTATTCATTGTATCTTTTAGCTCTTGTTGGAAATATCATTGTTGAGAAGAATTATAGAGATTCATATTTTCTTCCTTGACAAAACCCTATTCGAACTGCTGCTGACATATGATAATGAATATAGATACTTTAGGCGCTTTAAATAAAACGATGCCTACTCTCTTCCAGGGAGATCATATTTTTTAAAAAATGTGAGCTCTAAATGTGACACCAGTGTTAGTATTTTGAGCATTTGTTTTCCCTGATCATGTTTCCCTTGAGCCTAACGTCTTGAAAGTGCTTTCACGTTTTCTTTTCCTCCTTGGTTTGATTCAGCTAGCAGATTTTTTAGTCAACATTGTCAAATTTTCATGGTTAAATTGTTTTTCTAAGTATGTTCATATGTGGATTGTATCTTTTTTCAACATTATTTTTCTATACCCTTTTTTATATACTGTGGTTTATGGAATCATTTGGGGGAGTTGTATGGAATCAGAAATAAGAATGACCAATGCCTGAGTTTTATAAATTAAAAATTAGGTCCTATATCATTTTCCTCATGTATTAAATGTCTGAAGGAACTTTAAATCCTTTTATCGAACGTCTGTCATCTTTTGTAGTTAATGGTTGATTAATGATTAAATTAATCTAAGGTATTTAATGAGATAATACAGATAAATATAAAGGAGGATTTGCTGATTATCTTGAATATTAGTCATAAAAAGATGATTAAGACAGAATCCCTGCCTTCAAATAATTTATAGTCCATGATAAAATATACATACAAATAAGTTTCTTTTTTAAATAGAAAATAACATGTAACACAATGCCGTGAACTTTTAGTTTAGAACAGTGTTTCTGAACCTCAGCATTACTGACATTTTGGACCAGATAATTCTTCATCGTAGGAGGCTGTCCTGTGCATCGTAGGATGTTTAGCATCCCCTCCTGGCCTGCACCCACTAGATGCCTCTAACACCCTCCCACCCAGTGTCGACAACCAAAATGTCTCTAGACACTGCCAAATGTCCCTGGGGGACAAAATTACCCCAAGTTGAGCACCACTGGTTTAGAATAAAGAGAGATTACCCTAGCTGGGAAGATCAGAGATAATTTTTTTACAGTAAATATAACATTTGAATTGGTTCTGACAACTGGATAGGACACACATAGGCTAATCTGAGCATTTGGAGGAGGACATACAAAGGGAAGAACATAAGAAATGTTTACAAAGGTGAAGAAAGGTAAGGTAAGTTTCTATTTAATACTGTTCAATAACTGCTGCCTCTAAGGATCAGGAAAAAATAAATGAAAGTAGTAACTATAGAAAAGAAGAAGTGCAAATATCAATATGTACAGCTAAAACTTAGAAAACTCAACATCAGCTAAATATTACTAAAAGCAATAGACTAGCTCCATATTAAAGGATATAAATTCAACTCATGCTCATGACTTCAAATCTGGATTCAACTTCTGTTATCAACTGTGTGGCCAACCTACTATTATTTAACTTCTTGAAGCCTCAAGTGCTGACAAATATACTTGTTTGGAGGATGAAATTGGATAATTCATGTAAGAGCACTTTGAGAAATGGAAAGCTCCGTCAATATAATCGTCATAATTTCTATGATTACCTTCATTTCCAAGAGATTTCTAAGAGGTAACACTAAAAATATAACATAAGGACTGGGAAACATACACACACACACACACACACACATACATCAAGAGAGCAAACTACCAAAATGAAACCTCTAATTCTTTAGGATTCTTTGTTAATTTCTTGTATTTTAATAATAGCTAATATTTATTGAACAATTTACTCTTGCTAGATACTATGTTAAGTGTTTTATATGGACTATCTCATTTAAATGTCGGAATAACCCATTTACAGAAGCAAAATAACTTGCCCAAGATCATATAACTAGTATGTGATGTACCAGTATTGTAACGACAGCAAGCTAATATAGTACAACAGCTTACCAGTATTGTAACGACAGCAAGCTAATATAGTACAACAGCTTAGGGTGAGTCTTTAGTGTCAGAGAGCTTGAAAAAGTTACAGAAGTAAGCTCTTTAAGCCTCAATTTCCTCATCTTTAAAATGAAGATATAAATACCTGCTTCATAGAATTAAGTGAGTTCATGTATATAAAATTCTTACAACAGGTCCTGTCACATAATAAGTGCTCAATAATGTTAACTATTATTATCATTACTGCTACTACCACCACCACCCCCCACCACTACACTCTACTAGTTAATGAGAGAAAACCTTGGTTAGGGTATTTTTGCAAACTTTAGTAATCTAGGTAAGATTTCCAACAACTCTGGTTGGTTTCCCCCCACCCCTTCCTAACTTAATGCTTTTTGAGTAGGGGTATATAACTGATAAGTCACATTTGTTTCATACCGTAGTTAAAAGTCATCAATTTTTGTCTTTAATCTGTGTCACAGGAGTGAAAAAGGATTTGGTCACCTATTCCATACCTTTCCCTCCAACTAGCAATATCATAGATTATCATTATTTGAGATGTAGTAACCCAATTCGTACTTTGGAGAAGTCAAGGGAAGGACTTTTCCCCAATCTCACTCAATAACGTGTTAAGTCACATGTATTTTCTTTGGACCTTATTGCTGTTGCCTTGAGAAAAATTAGGTCTTTCTGTTAAAAGCAAAGAATGCATTTTTTTTCTTTACAGGGACTAAAACCAAATAGGGAAAAGAGTAGTTAGTGGTGTTTTTTAAAGATTTACATATGAGCATGCTAAAAATTAAATTGTCAGAATGTGTAAAGAAAAACCATTTATTTTTCCCAGCTTCAAGCAAATGAAAGTTTGTTTTTCATGATGGAACAAATGAAGACTTGGGGGCCATGTGGAAACAAGCTGAACTAATTTATTGCCAAATGTTGCTCTGTGTCTATGAAGCTTTTCACCACTGGTCTCAGAAAAAATGACCTCACAAAAGCTATGTCTGAAAGGAATTGCCAACTATTATTAACTCAATGACAGGCTTTGGACTGTGCTCTGATTCTTAGTGGATTAATAATTTTAAATTATTTTAATGATTATTTTTCCTTTAAGAAGCACCAGATTTCTCTCCCTCTCTCTCTCAGCCAAAAACTATAGTATCTTCTCTCCTCTCCCTCAGTCATCAAAAATACCGAATCTAATAGTCTGTGCGATCCTAGTTGATTTAAGCCCAGATAGTGTCATCATAGAAATAAAAATTACAGTTAACTCATCAGCACTCTCCAGAGACCAGTACTATGATTACTTCAAGTCACCTAGAAAGGGTTTCCCTAGATAGCATGGCAGGAGACACAACAGCCAAATGACCCATCGTTTCTAGTTGAAAGGACAGATTGGCTCTTTTGGTTTCAGAGTTGCTTCAAGAATAGGAGCCTTTCAGGTGGTGGGTCCAGGACTATTTGGATTCACTACAAATTAAGACTTTCCAATCTAGGACTCCTTTAAGGTTTAGCTGCTGAAAGCCTGAGCAATCTGTAGAGACCATAACTACAGGAGGGGATTCCCACATGGTTTGCCATGAAGGAGTCCAGTGTGTTCTGTGACTCCTGGTATCCCGCAAAAGCACTAACGAGGCTCCCGTTGATTAGGAGATACATTGTAGGGAGCAGGGAAATCAGACAGCAATCTCGGTTGGTGTCAAGTTAGCTGAATATTAAAAAACTGTTTAGGCTCCTGGAAATCAGGTCAAGCCAGATTCCAGAAGTCAGAAAATAGGCAGTTAGTACTAGTTGGCTTCCAGCTGGAGAGCAGAGACAAACTTTCAGGCTTTAGTTACAGGGAGGAGTGGTCTGAGAAACAGGATGTCAGTTGAGGAAGAACGTGCAAGTAGATCTTAGCATCCACAGCTGGCACAGGTGAGGAATTCAGTATGTGAGGGGTGCCAGTGAACAGAAGAATCCAAAAGAGCCTGATTCTGGGGTGTTTTTCCTCTGACTACGTTTGTACTTCATTCTCAGTCCATAGGTATCTGTAGGAGACTTTTGCAGCAGAAAACTAGTATCTTCCTGAAACAAAGGCTACATTCTCACAGCTGGATCCAGTTAAACATCAAGTATTTCCCAAAGTATAAAATATTCCCCAAAACGCTACTTGAATGCAATGTAAATGGTCAAATATGTTTAGAAAATATGAAAACCATATCCTCCTCTGGGAGATTCATAGTGAACATTAATGCATT